TATTTTCTTGTTACTTAAGTGCACAGGTTTATATGTAGGTGTTTTGTATTAGCCTCGTCACTTTCTCGCCGGAGTTAGGCTTGACACTTACGGAGTACATTGGGTCGGTTGTACTCATACTACACTTCTACACTTTTGTACAGACTTTGGCATCAGACTTAGTGGTACTCAAAGGACTGTGAGCACGTGATTTTTGCCCTACATGAATTACTCCCATAGTTTCAAAACAAAATAATTTCTTTTCATTATTTATTTTAATTTTGTTGATTTTCGTGGCATTTTCTGTTAATTGTTTGCATTTTTATCCGTGCATTTTAATTATTGAAAAAACAAAAATATACATTGCATCTGCATTTAGGATTTAATTTTACATATTCTTAGATTAATTAGTAATTAGGGTTTTACAAAATACCAAAATCGCAAAAATAGTTTACTCTTGTTTTTAGTTTTAAATTTTGGAATTTTAGTAGTCTTTCTTTTATATTTAATTGTTTGTGGTAATTGTTAGTTAGAGTCAATCAATTTAATACAGTAGGATAATTTGATTAGGAAGTAATTGGGGTTTTATTTTTAATTTTAAAAGAAATTAGAATAAAGAAATGAAAAAGAAATAAAAAGAGAAATTCAAAAGGATTGAGTCACAATTTGGGCCTGCCTTGTGTTCTTAATTAATCAATCCATCTCCCAGCCCAAGCGGATCAGGCCCAGGCCGCCCCAACCCGGTCCATGCCCCGCCCCTTTCAAAGCGGTGTCGTTTGCCAAGGTAAGATCCCAGTCGTCGAGGTAACTCGATCTAACGGCTGGGAAGTAGGGTCCTTTAGATATTTATATGTCCGAAAAGGGACCACCCCCCTCCCCTTTCTCTCGTCTTCCCCGTTCACCCAAACCCTAGAGACCCCAACCCGCCGCCCTATCCTCCCCAATGTCCCAGGCCGGCGGCGACACCATAGACAACCCCAATCGCTCCCAAAACAACACCCCAGAACCCTCTCCGCCCCCCGTCCCAAATATCCAACCCTACGACCTCGAATCTCCCTGTGTCACTCCAAATTTTATAAACCCTAGTTGAGCCGCCCCAAATCCTCACCGCCTCCGGTAGTGGTGCCACTCTTAATCACCCCCAAATCAACACCCTTTGACCATTAGACCTCCCTTATCCTATATCCTTCTCCCTCTTCCTTCAAATATCAGTCAAGTCCTGCAGATTTTGAATCTGAGTTTCGAGTTGAAAGGTTGATCCAGAACTCAAACATGCAAGGCACCCTCTCCCGTTCTTTTAGCCCCAATTTCATCGCGTACTAACATTGCTTACCTGTTCTTGAACAAAGAACATGTTACTAATGTTATATCGCGGTTAAATCGGAAGTTCAGCTTCGAGTCCGAGTCGAGACTGGTGAGTTCTTTTCTTCCATTTCATTTTCCTTTCTTTCCTTTCCATTCTTGTATATTTGTCTTGTGTGTTCATATACGTGTCCTCTACTTCGTCTCTTCTCTTCTGTTTGGTTAGTTGAATCAATATTTGAATAAAGTCTTAGATTAATTGAGTGTTGTCATTTTGCTATTTGTTTAGTCAGAATCTTCCAGGTTCTATTTCATGATTTTTAGATTGGTTGGTTCGTGTCAATAGGAATGCTCAATTTCTGATTATCCTTGTTTGGTTGTGGTCATTTAGTTTAATTGAATTAGGTCATCTTGATTTAATAGCTTAATAATTTGGTTGGTCTCCTGATAATTTGTTCACTTCTATTTTCTTTAGCTTAATTAGGTCATATTGTTAAATTGTGTTGGTTAGTCATGTTAGCTTAGTTTGGGTCTTGTTAGGTTTTGTGGGCTTGCAGAGTTGGTTGAGTCTAGTTGGGGTTGTGAATGTCATTTGGGTGCTGCTCCTTGTGCAAGTACAGCCCATTTCGTTTTGGGCTGAACTATGGGAGGTCAGTTTGGCCCAGATAACTAGCTAGGAGTAGTTGAGGGGTAATTTCATTTAGGCATAAAAGGTATAATCAAAAGGTTTTCAGGGTTAGATTGGGTAAGGTACTTAGAGAATCTTTGTAACAGAAGGAGAAGCTTCTAGGGTGGGGTTGGTTTTTAATTTTCAGTATTTGGGTGGTAGAACTTGGGGAACAAGTTAAGAAATTAGGGCCCCTAAGCTAAAATAAAAACTAAAAAGGGGGTAAAATGTAAAATCTAAAATCTGAAGTTTGCCCTATTGCCTTGCCTATAAAGGCATGTCTTCTTGCCTTGAAAGGGAGCTGAGGGGGATACGTTCTGAAAATCTGAGAGAGTTCGAGAGCTAAAAATCCGGAAGTAAAGGCTGCCCAGTTTTACTATTTTAGAAAAGGTTTTGAGAGCAAAAAATATACAAAATCAGGCGGCTAGATACAAAGAAAAAATCACTGTTCTATTGGAAAATCTTTGGGAATTCTTGTAATATTGATTCTGAGATAGTTTTAAGCAATTGAAGGTTGAAAATGAGCTGAATCAGTGGTGTTCGAGGGCTTTGATTCATTTCTGTTTAATTTTGATTGCTGGGTTTTGTGAGGCACTGTTTGAGAGTCTTATTGGTTTACACCTACTTTAAAAGTGATTGTCCTTGGTCATTTATCTGGGATAATTCTTGTTGCTGCTGAGTTACTGATCTCACATTTTCTTACCTCCTTTCATTTTCCAGGTACGCTTCAGCATCTGAGTAGCATAAGAGATGTAAAGAGAATCCGCGTATTTGATTTAGATAGTAAATGAATAATTCCCGTTCTTAAAGGATTGGCTCACGTGTTTCCTGGTTTAAATTAGCATGACTACTTGGACATTATTGTATTCATTCATGATTTATGCTCTATATTAGATGCCGTAACTTTGGTTTTATTGTTTTAACTCTGAATTAGATGAACTCCTCAAATACTTGTGTGTTGGGACCGTTATGACAGGAATTTAGTGAGTAGTGTTATCATTCGAGCTAGTGGTACGAATCTTGCCTCTTTCATTTATGTTTAGGTTGTATAATATGGAGTGTTCATGGAAATTTAGCCGGAAACTCTATGGTTCAATAATTAGTTTGAATAGCGTCTGGTTGAGTGTGAAATGCACGAGCTACGGTGTGATTTTTGAGGATCGGGTTGTTTTTAAATTGTGGCGTATATGTTGGTTCTTTGATTAGCCATTTGGATTTATTTCAATCTTCTGTTGTTTTAAGCATCGTTCGTACGTTGTGGGGGGTCGATACAGGGTCCTAGTTCTAGCTTGTTTTCCCATTTGGGCTTGTGTTGAGGCCCAAACATTGGGCAGCTTCTTATGAGCGACGCAAAAGGATTTCTCCTTCCTCTTGGGCTGGCTTCGAAGCCCAATGAACTGTTAGCTTAATTCGTTATTGGATCCATTAATAATTAAATGGTAGGCTTTGGGCCTTTCAAGTTAAGTAGCGGACTCGAGCTAAGGGTTTCTTCAGTAATGGAGAGCGCCTTGTTCGAGTTCGGACTTGCACTTGGGGGCCCGAATTTCCTTGAATATCTTGATATTAATTAATTCATAATGTTAACAAATTAAGTTTTTTTTTAGAGACAATCCTTATAGATAATGCTAGTTCGTCTTTAGGTTGTCCTTTAAGAACGAATTGAGGTGCGTCGTGCCAAATAAAATCACAAATTGCGTGGCCCTCTTTAATTGCTTTATTAAAAATATTTTAGAAATTCGGGACGTGCCATTTAGCGAATTTTCATGGCCTCCCGCAAAGTTAACAAGATGCTAGCCACTTTAGGCGCGTTTTTTAATAATTTTACCTTCTTAACTACGGGTGTGCATTTCATGCGACCCAAATCCAAATCCCAAAATGTTGAATAAGAGGTGTCAAGGATCCGGGTGCATTTCATGTGACGTGATCCAAAAGCACGCTCTTAAACGACGTTCACTTTCATAAAAACTAATTAAAAGCGGTTAAACAATTCTAAAATTGCAATAGGATAACATGTATTAAAATCAGACTTTAGCCAAATATAGCAGTTGAGCGACCGTGCTAGAACCACGGAACTCGGGAGTGCCTAACCCCTTCTCCCGGGTTAATAGAATTCCTTACCCAGATTTCTAGTTCGCGACTGTTAAACAGAGTCAAACCTTTTCCTCGGTTCGGGATTCAAACTGGTGACTTGGGACACCACAAATCTTCCAAGTGGCAACTCTGAATATCTTAATAAACGAATCCCGTTTCGATTGTCCTTTAAGTGGAAAAACTCCTTTATGCCCTTTTATGGGGGTGTAGTCAAAAGGAGGTGTGACAAGGACGAACTAGCTTGCTTGGTTGTGGATACTCGAGGTAGTGCTGCATTCTTGTCCGCAGGTCTTGATGTCATCCATGTTCTAGACTTTATATTGTTTATTCGTATCAAACAATGTATTTATCATTTCAGACATTGTATTTAGTAGTTTTGTAGAAGCTCATGTACTCGGTGACACTAGTTCTGGGAAGATTTTAGATGGTTGTTGGATTTGGTCTTGTTAAGTATTGGTTTACCTAGCAAGAGATGTTGGGTGCCATCACGACTCCTTGGTTGGAAAATTAGGTCGTGACAAAAAAATACAAAATATCTGCACATGAATGTCTTTTATTTTCATGATATTAGGAGTTGTGAATTAAGGCAAAAATATTAGCACTTTTATATTTTTTTTACATTTTATGTAATCAAGGATATTGAGAAATTTTAATTTTAAATGAATTATTTTAATGAGTTTTAGTAATTTTGTATTATATTCAATTTATTGTTTGCTTCGATGTTTTGTTTTTTGTTGCTTTTGTTTTTTTTTTTGTATAGTAGTATATAACAATTAGATTTTAAGTATGTTGTATATTTAGGTTAATTTTATTTTTCAAAGTTTCTTTTTTTTAAAATAATAAAAAGGAAATAAAAGAGAAAACTAGAAGCAAAGAAAGACGGTAAAAGACAATACTGGACACTATCTTCATAGGTTTTAATCGGCACCTTACGGGGTAATTTGGAGGTCAGACTGAAAATTTTCAGAATCTCGCGGGCAAAATTCCCTCCCTCCCACACCCTCCCAACCTTCCTTTTTTCAGGATACAATTCCCTCCCCCCAACTCACAAAATCTTTCAGGCCCAAATTTCCTCTCTTCATCACCTTCTCTACCGAGAGAAAGTCCGCACAATCAGAACAACAAAGGTTCGTATTTCGTCATACTCTTTTTATTTCGAGTTGCTCTATATCTGCTTTATTTACTATTCGTAACAGAGTTCGTACTCGAAATTGTTTAAGATATGCTTGCGGATTTATGTACTATTACTAGTATTGTGTTATATTTTGGTTCAATTTTGTGTGGGTTCCTTCCCTTGAGGTCTAATTGTAAATTTTACCGTTTTAAGAATTGTTGTGGGGAAATCCTGTACGCGTTTAAATGGAGGCTCTCTAGTGAGAGACTGTATATATGTATTAGGTGGTATTTGGGAGATCTTTGGTCGTTTACGGTTGATTGAAGTTTCCCTATTTTGGCTATTGGATGGATTATGTATTTAGAATTTTGGAGTACGGGGAACAACACAATGCACTCTTTCTTTGTCCAACGACTTTGATCACTACTAAGCTTAGGGTTTGATTTTTGAATTGTTTGTAAGTTGGTCCAACTTGGGGATTGATGGTCTAATGGTCTAGGAATTGGTTTTTTTTCCTTCTTGTTACAATTAAGTAGAATTTTGATTTCCAGCCTCTTCATAATGTAGTACTCTAGTTAATGTTTAATCAAGGCTGCTTTACGGGATACTAGTGTGATTTCCTGATATTAGTTAGCATTGTCTACTATTCACGTACTGCCATAATCACATACAAACATGAGGAATTTGGTAGATTGTCTAGACTAGCGGCTCTCGCCTTTGTTGACAAACTAATTTAAAATGAGAAGAATGAGGTACAATCTTCTAAGTTTGGTTTTCTGTTGTATATTTGCAACTACTGCATCCTTGTATAAAAAAATGATTAGAAGCATGAGTACAATTACATTAACTTTTGCATATGCTCAGGTGATTGTTGTAGAAAGTCACTCCAATGGATCAAAGGATAATCTAAAGCAACGGATTGATCATCCAAGATTTGAGCTAATTCGTGAAGGTGAAACGCTCCTTGTGTTTGCTTCGACAAATGTGTCTGGATTTCTTGTTATTCATGAGTACTTTTGATCAAATGAATAAAGCGTTTGAGTAATTCCAACATGTTTGTTTAACCGTGATTATCAGCGAAAATCTAGAGATTAAAATTTAGCTAGTAGTTCCGACTTTGAGTTAAGACTTATCTGAAGCATCTAGACATTTCTTATCATTATAAAGAAAATTTCAATGACTAGTCAGAACTATCTCTGTTATATACCTTCTTGTTTCCCCTTTCATGATACATGACCTATTTGGGTGCAAACAAGAATGGTGAAGAAAATTTCTTTCACTGGTGAATATGTGGGCAAAGGTTTTAGGATTGTTGTGTTGGTATGATAGCACTGAGGGGTAAGTTATGCTTCTTAACTCATTTCTTGGCCAGGTGTTCGTTTCAGAGAAAGCTTATTTTTGTATCACAAACTTCACTACTTATAGGAAGCTAGAATATTTGGAAGAATATTTGCAGCATTGAACACTTCTTTAAGTGAAACAAAAAGCCTTGGGAACAAGTAACACAGTTGGCTCATTGACATCTTTCTACATGCGTGGCTATAGGTGGATGTAAACTTGATGTACTAGTCTAATCTCACAACGCACATAAATAAGTGGTGGTTTTCTATTAAATTGATTGCATTTGAATTTTTCTTATCCTAAGACAACTGGTTACTGAAATATACAACAATTTTCAAAAATAACAAAAGGTCCCTCACACTCTTATGGTGATAGTTGGTTCTGCTATCTATTTTGTCAACACCAATTATATCAAGGGTATGTTCTAATTATTTAATTAGCTTAATGATATTGCTTTATTATAATTTTGAAGGATACTGAGATGGTTAACTGATGAAAAGAAAACTACTAAAAGAAACTAATCAAACAAAAATTCCACAATTCGATTGTTGAGATTTCACTAAGTCATCTCCTACATTTTTAATGCTTTTACTTCTTTTCCCTTGGTTACTGTATGTTATTAAGAGTAATTTGTTTTGTATTCTCTTGCAGTTTTACTGATACAGATGCTAATGGAATTCATGTCTATGAAATTTGATTAAGTCCCTTAACAAATTAGACATCGAAGTAAGTTGGTAGTATAAAAATTCTATTTTTGTTGTTCAAGTTTTGGCACTTTTTTGTTGCTTTTGTTTAAAGTTAGCTCCAAAAGATTTTGACGCTGGCTTGGTTTGTTTAACTAATTATTAGTTTATGGCTCCCATTTTATCCGTTCATTTATTCTACTTGAGTTTTCCGGTGTTGTTAGCGTTCAAATTTTCATCTTTTGTTAATTATTGGGTTGGATTATAACTTATAGTACTTTATTTGTTGAATTCTAATGTCAGAAAAACTATAGAGGTTGACTTATTGTAACGACTCGGCCGGTCGTTTCATGAGTTACTGCTTTGTTTTCCCCCATTTCTGCTTCTTTATGTCTTGTTTAGCTGTATTATGCGTTATCGGGTTGGTTGGTTCGGGTTCGGAGTGATTTTATAAAGGAATGAGACATTTCGTCTCTTTTGAGTAAGCTTAAGTTGGAAAAGTCAACCGGATGTTGACTTATGGGTAGAAGGTCTCGGATGTGAATTGTGATAGTTCGAATAGCTTCGTTAGGTTATTTGGGACTTCGGAGCGTGATCATAATGTATTTTGGAGGTCCGTGGTAGATTTAGGTTTGAATTGGCGAAATTAGAATTTTGGTGTTTTCCGGTCGGTAGTGGAAATTTTGATATTGGGGTTGGAATGGAATTTCCGAAATTGGAGTAGGTCCGTTATGTCATTTGTGACATGTGTGCAAAATTTCAGGTCATTCGGGTGACGTTTGGTAGACTTTTTGATCATTTGCAGGATTCGGAAGATTTAGAATCCTTAGGCTTGAATCTGAGGGTGATTTGGTGTTTTGATGTTATTTTGAGTGTTACAAAGGTTGAAACAAGTTTGAATGATGTTATGGAATAGGTTGGCATGTTTGGTTGAGGTCCGGAGGGCTTCGAGTGAGTTCCGGGTGGTTAACGGATCATTTTGGAATTTGGAAAGATAACAGATTTTCTGGTATTTTTGTTGTAGAGATTTGTTCTTCGCGTTCGCATAGGGATGTTGAGTGAAGTAGGTGAGTTGCTCTTCGCGTTCGCGACGTTGGTCCCGCGTTCGCGAAGGTTGAGGCAGAGTGTGCATCGCGAACGCGTGGCGAAGCTCGCGTTCGCGTAGAAGGGTGAAGCAGGCTTGGGCATAGGCCCTCTAAGGCATCGCGTTCGCGGCCAATAGAACACGTTCGCGTATGCCAAGCTAGGCAAGGCAACGCGTTCGCGAGGTGGAGTTTGCGTTCGCGAAAGAGGAAAAGATTGAGCAGTGATTTTTGTGATTCGCGAATGCGAGGCTTTGACCGCGTTCGCGAAGAAGGGAGCATCTGGGCAGAATGTTTATAAAGCCATCTTCTCCATTTTTAGGCCATTTCTCACCATTTTTGAACGGCTTTGAAGCTTTTTGAAAAGGATTGAAGAGGGATTCGAAGGGTAACATTTGGAGGTAAGGTTTTTGAACTAAATAGTCGATTCTATGGTAATTTCTAATCAATTAGACATGAAATTAGTGTGATTTAAAGCTAAAATTGGGGATATTTGGGCTTGGAATTGTAGAGTTATTTTGGGGATTTGAGGTCCAATTTTGATGTTCTTGGTATGTATGGACTCGCAGGAGGACGAGGATTCTTGTGATGTGATTTTTATGGAATTTCGACACGTGATCCCGAGGGTCGGCCAATTTTAGGATTTTTGAGTTAATTTGATAATTTTCGTATGGGTTTCATTCCTTTAGCGTATATTGATGGTTATATACTAAATTTGGTTAGATTCGAGGCATTTGGAGGCCGAATCGAGAGGCAAGGGCGTTGCGGGCTAGAGTTTGGCTTGGCTTGAGGTAAGTAATGCTTCCAAACTTGGTTCTAAGGGTTCGAAACCCCGAACTATGTGTTCTATGATTACTATTGAGGTGACGCAAATGCCAAGTGACGGGCGTGTGGGCGTGCACCGTGAGAATCGTGGCCTGGATCATTCCATGGCACCGCTTAGTGACTCTTTCTTGCAGATATCTGTGTTGTAATTATGTGATTAAGCTAATGAGCTGTAAATCATGCTAATAATCATGTTAAGGCTTCACGCAAATATCGTTGAGACCCGAGAGTTCGTTTCTTGCTGTCATGTCATTAACTTCATTGACATTCTGTACTCAGTCCTGTTCATGCATGTTTACCGTGAAAATGGTAATAACAATTAAATTTGTTAATGGGACTCTAAAAATACGTGATCTATTTTTATGCTAGTCGTGGAGCAGTTGATGCTCTGTGTGTGTAGTTTAAGGGTGAGACGCGAGCTAGACTAAAGCAGTAATCGAATCGAGAGATAGCCGTTCGGGGCCTCGAGCTGGTCGATTTGGGGCCTCAAGGTCGAGTCTCGAGCTATCGGGGGAAATCGAGGAAGGGCTAACAGATGCAATAATATTAAAGGAGGCTCTTTATAGCTAATGATAAGCAATAAATAAGTAATGAATATGGAACAAGTATGAAAATAATAAGATAGAACAACAACGTCGAGAGAGTATCTTAGAGAGAAAGAGAGAGAGTTATCATATATTTCATGTAGAGCTTTTGGGGCAACATCAGTCACCTACAAAATAATCAGAATCCCCTTTATATATAAGGGGAAAAACTTATATGGTAAGGCACACATTAGCTGTAAAGGTGTGGAGATGGGACGGCTGAAATGACGCCTCGAGTAGGGCTCAGAATAGCCTGGCTATGCTTTGTCAGATTAGCCGCGTCTCGGGAACTCCTATTTCTGCTTTAGCCCCGATCAATATCCTCCTAAGGTCGGGTGCTGGTGGGACCCGAGGAAGAAGACTCGAGCGCATCTTTGCAGCCTTGAGGCTTTGGGTCGATCTTTCCGAAATGCTTAAAAGACAGGAAATCAGACCCTCCGATTTTGCCGTATACAATGCATATTATATCATCCCTCAGTCTCGATTATTGTTATATGGCTCGTAGGTTGAGTAGCTCGAAGCCTTATGATTTGGAGCTGACATGGTCGAAGCTCTTTTGCCTGTTGAGGGTAGCCCGTTTAACTGGTTCTTTTCGAAGTAGATTCGAAGTAGTGGCCTATGATTTTGTAGCGACGGTCGGGCGTCCCCGAGTCGCGTTAGTTTGGCTGGTGCAACCGTATGACCATAATCATTTATGTCTTACAAATTCGATATATATCCTGGACTTAGAGATTGATTCTATGCCTGTAATAAGGTCTTACAAAACATTCATGCCTTTTGAGGTCTTATAGTTTTTGCTGATACTTGATGCAAGTATGATTCATGCCTTGCTTGAAGGTCTTACAGTTCGTGTTGCTTTGTGCAAGTTTTACAAGACCGAGTTTGCCCGCTCGGGGTCTTACGGCCTCGGGTTTTTTGCTGAATGGCGATAGTCTCCAAGTCATCGAGTTCGTTTTGGCTTGAGATCCGTTACTTGTGAGCTCGAAATTACCTTATTGAGGGCTTACGACTTTTGGAGATTCCGACTCTGAGGTCGTGCGTATGCAGAGTTCTTTGGTGCTAGTCTTCGAGTATTCGGGACGCTTTCTTTTTAGAGATAATTAATGATTTTTGTGCTGCCTCGTTGGGGGCTAATTAGTCCGGAGTTTCGACCCTGAGGTCATGCGGGTGCCGAATTATCGATGCCAATCTCCGAGTATTCGGGACGTTTTCTGATGGAGAAATCTTTTTGGCGAAAAACGCTGGGATTTCCTTGGAGCATGAATCATGTTGGCAAAAATCATTCTTTGATTATTTGACACTAGTACATGTGCCTCCGCCATCGGGGGCTCGGTTGTGCGGACACGGTTCATTCAACTTTGGCCTGGTACATCATTTTCTCATTGGGTCCTATTTGGCATTTCTTGGTTTTTTTGAGCGGACGACCTTCCGAAAGGGCGTCCATCGGCGCTCGTGGTTGATAGCAAAAGAAGTCTTGAGGACCTGTTGGATTCCCCTCAGGTAGCATATAGGTGTTGCCTCGTTAAAAACGTTGCCGGCAAAACCCTCTTCGGGACAAAAGCTCGATTGAAGGAAAAGAGTGCAACGGATGTCCTTAAATCCTTAGGGTCTTTGGGCTGGGCGTGCGTATTTGACCGCTTTGATCGAGGTTCCAAGGTCTGGTACGCCTCTTTTGGCGTGGGATTAGTATGGAATATAAACTGAAAAGGGAGATGGTTATACCTTATCGTGGGATGCTTTTGGCGACGTTCCAAGGTCTGGTACGCCTCTGATGTTCGCGGCGGGGACTCAGTACGGTCCTCTGTTGTGTTCAATTGTGCTTAGCCAAAGGTGTAGTTTGATTATCCTTAGGCTCTCTCGAGAGTAGAGATATTGGCGCCGGTGCCGCGTCGTGCACCGCGAACATTTCCCTTGCCGCGTGTTGCTCCCCGTGGACGGTTTTAATCCCGTCTTTTGTTGGGAATTTCATCATCTGGTGGAGGGTGGACGGTACCGCTCTTATGCAGTGTATCCACGGTTGCCCGAACAAGGCGTTGTACCTCATCTCTCCTTCGATGACATGGAATTTGACGTCTTGAGTCGCGCCGGCCACGCTGACCGGGAGAGTGATCTCTCCCTTTGTTGCCTCGCTTGCCATGTTAAATCCGTTGAGGACTCGAGTGGCAGGCACGATTTGGTCTAGTAGTCCGAGCTGCTTTACTACCTTCGACCTGATAATGTTGGCCGAGCTACCTGGGTCCACGAGTACACGTTTTATCTGAAATGTATTTATGAGGTAAGAGATTACCAGTGCGTCGTTATGAGGTTGAGTCAGGGTCTCGGAGTCCTCCTCGCTGAATGTGAGGGCATCTTCGGGTACGTATCCCCGGGTTCGCTTTTCCTTGGTGATGGAAATTTTTGTCCTTCTCATCACGGGTTCTTGAGGAGCGTCGATCCCTCCTAATATCATGTGGATAACGTGTCGTGGCTCGTTTACTTCATTCTTCTTGGCTTCCTCTCTTCCTCGGAACTAATTCTTGGCTCGGTCACTCAAGAATTCTCTGAGATGACCGTTATTGAGTAACATGGCCACTTCTTCTCGTAGCTGGTGACAATCCTCGGTTCTGTGACCATGCGTGTTGTGAAATTCACATATCAAGTTATGATTCCTTTGGGAAGGATCCGACTGTACATGCTTGGGTCATCTGGCATCCTTGATTTTGCCGATGGCGAACACGATATTTGAAATGTCAACGTTGAAGTTGTACTACGATAGGCGTGGTGCCCATGTTGGCCCCGCGTTTTCGTCGAATCTGGCCCTATTAATGAACCCTCGGGGGTTCGGCTCTCGGTTGACCGGTCGGTTGTTGCGAGGCGGGTTGCGTCTCGGGGCGTTTCTCCTGTCTTCGGTGTATGGCTGATACCTTTCTTCGCTCGGCTTCGACTCTTTTGCTAAGAGCCTGTTTGGGTATACTGAGCCCGAAGGGGCTCCCAATTGATCATCCTCGACCCTGATCTTTGACTGGTATCGGCTGTGGACATCCGACCAGGTTACGGCAGGATACTCGATCAGATTTTCTTTTAGCTGCCGCGAGGCCATAGAACTCCGCTCGTTCAAGCCCTGAGTGAAGGCCTGCACCGTCCATTCGTCGGAGACCGGGGGTAGTTCCATTCGTTCCGTTTGAAAGCGAGACACGGACTCTCGCAGCATTTCGTTCTCCCTTTGCCTGATCTTGAATACGTCGGATTTCCTCGTTGCTACTTAGATGGCACTGGCGTGCGCCTTTATGAAGGAGTCTGCCAGCACGGCGAATGAGTCTATGGAGTTGGGAGCTAGATTATGGTACCACATCATGGACCCCTTTGAGGAGTGTTTCCCTGAACTTCTTCAGTAAGACGGACTCGATCTCGTCGTCTTTTATGTCGTTGCCTTTTACTGCGTACGTATAGGGGGTAACGTGCTCGTTGGGGTCCGAGGTCCCGTTGTACTTCGGGAGTTCCGGCATTCTGAACTTCTTTGGGATGGGTTTCGGAGCTGCTTCCTTCCGGAACGGCCGCTGCACGAACTTCCTTGAGTCTACACTTTTCAGGATCGGGGGCGCGCCCGGGATTTGGTCGACCTTGGAGTTGTAAGTTTCGACCTTCTTGTCTTTGGCGGCTATTATCTTTTCGCCCGACTCGATCCTTCTGGAAAGATCCTCGAGCATTTTTACGATAGCAGGGTCGGTCTTCGAACCATTATTGCTCAGTCTCTCCGGTACCTGTTTGGTTGGGGGAGTTGTTCCTGGTGCTATGGTGTTGGGAGTTTTTGGATGGCTTTCTGTTGGTCGTCTTGTTGTACGCTTCTGTCGGTGCGTGAGATTGCGTCGACCTGCTGTGCGTCTTGTGAACCCGCGTCCGCTGGAAACGATCCGGGCGCGTTATCAGGGTTCAGTGGTGGTGCACTGACGATCGGAACTACTACACCGTTTTCTCTGTGGTTTTCGAGGTTGTTGTTCTCAACTCTGTTCACTGAGCCAGACATTTTGACCTGAAATCAAAGAATTTGGACAAGAAGAAGTGTGAAAGATAACTTGCATTGTATGACGAAACTAGCAAGAAAATAATCACTATTATTTTTAGCCCCACGGTGGGCGCCAAACTGTTTACCGAAAATGGTAATAATAATTAAATTTGTTAATAGGACTCTAAAAATACGTGATCTATTTTTATGCTAGTCGAGGAGCAGTTGATGCTCTATGTGTGTAGTTTAAGGGTGAGACGCGAGCTAGACTAAAGTAGTAATCGAACCGAGAGATAGCCGTTCGGGGCCTCGAGTTGGTCGATTTGGGGCCTCGAGGTCGAGTCTCAAGCTCGGGCTCGAGCTATCGGGGGAAATCGGGGAAGGGCTAACAGATGCAATAATATTAAAGGAGGCTCTTTATAGCCAATGTTAAGCAATAAATAAGCAATGAATATGAAACAAGTATGAAAATAATAAGATAGAACAACAACGTCGAGAGAGTATCTTAGAGAGAAAGAGAGAGTTATCATATATTTCATGTAGAGCTTTTGGAGCAACATCAGTCACTTACAAAATAATCAGAATCCCCTTTATATAGAAGGGGAGAAGCTTACACGGTAAGGCACACATTAGCTGTAAAGGTGTGGAGATGGGACGGCTGAAATGACGCCTCGAGTAGGGGCTCAGAATAGCCTGGCTATGCTTTGTCAGATTTAGCCGCGACAGATTTAGCCGCGTCTCGAGAACTCCTATTTCTGCTTTAGCCTCGATCAATATCCTCCCAAGGCCGGGTGCCGGTGGGCCCCGAGGAAGAAGACTCGAGCGCATCTTTGCAGCTTCGAGGCTTTGGGTCGATCTTTCTGAAATGCTTAAAAGACGGGAAATTGGACCCTCCGATCTTGCCGTATACAATGCATATTATATCATCCCTCAGTCTCGATTATTGTTATATGACTCATCATATCATTATTCGGGCTAGTACCATAACATTTTGAGCACGTGTGTGTGAGATTGGAGTGTGATGATTGAGTGAGACCGAGAGCTTGATATTGAGTGACATTATGGGATCGGGCTGTATGTCGCAACGAGATATTGATTATTGCCTTCGTCTTGTTATAGCGCTTGGGCAAAAAGGAGCCACTGGAGTCGTTACACCCAGTGAGCGCAGTTGATGATATTGAGGGATGGAACATGGATCTTGTCCGAAGTATTATACCTAGAGATGGATTTTCTCCATAGGGCTTGAATGGCCTTCCTCGGTACTGGATGACTCCGGTCAGTGATGTGTGTCTATATATATATATATATATATATATATATATATATATATATATATATATATATATATATGTATATATTCCGGGATGGATCTTCCCTGGGCCGGATGGCCATATACAGTACCGAGCGGTTGAGCTCTTGTGAGTGGAGGTACACGGAACATTGGTCATGCTATCCGTGCATTGGTACATAGAGATTTTTTTGAGTTTTATACCCTGTCCTGTTTAGACTGCATTTTATTTACTGTTGAGGTATTATTTGAACTGCAAGCATGTCTACTTTTCTGGTGTACTCACATTATCTATTGAGGTTTGGTTCGTCACTACCTGTCAGTCCATAGTTTGGACTTGTTACTTATTGAGTTGGTGTACTCACGTTATCTCCTGCACCATGTGTGAAGATCCAGGTATCTCGGGCCACGGTAGCGGTTGCTGATCATTTCAGTTGTGAACTTTCCTTGGAGATAGCGAGGTAGCTGCCTGGCGATCGTAGTCCCGCCTTCTCCTTCCTTATCTTCCTTTTAGTGTATTTGTTGGCTATTCTCGGACTATGTTAGTCTTGTTTTATTTTGAACTGTTGTAGTACTTTGCTCATGACTTAGTGACACCCGAGGTCGGGCTTGTATTTTCTGCTTTGTTTTGACTTTTACTTTATATCTTTTATCGGATTTCAGTTGGAAACATAGTTTTACTTAAGTTTTAAATAAAATATGGATTATTCGGAAATCAATTGGCTGGCCTAGTTTCACGATAGGCGCCATCACGATTGGTTCGATTTTGGGTCGTGACAAGTTGGTATAAGAGCCTAGGTTACATAGGTCTCATGGGTTATGAGCAGATTTAGTAGAGTCTCGTGAATCAGTACGGAGACGTCTGTACTTATCTTTGGGAGGCTGTAGAACGTTTAGGAAAACTTCACATTCTTGAATTCTTGTCGTGCGAATCTGTTGATTTTGGTACTAAATTTCTGTTATTCCATTCTCTCACGGATGATGAGGACATGTGCTACCGGTCCGGACGGACGACCACCAGTACCACTAATTGGGTCCACTAGAGGCCGACGACGCGGTCGAGGCCGTGGTAGGGGCATGGGTGTAGCCCATACAACAGCTAGGGCAGCACCTGCAGATCCGCCAGCTGCCCCAGTTCATGATCAGGCTCCAGCGGGGGATGCTCTAGCAGTACCAACTCAGGCACCGGTTGTGCCTATTGTTATTCCGGGTCTCTAGGAGACCTTGGCTTAGATTCTGACAGTATGCACCAATCTTGCTCAGGCGGTCGCAGTTACTAGTACAACAACTACTTCTCAGGCCGGGGGAGGCACTCAGACTCCCGTCGCTCGTACACTCGAGCAGGTTGCGTAGGGACTTCAGACACCGGAGGCACCACCAGCCCATTCGGTTGCACCTGCTCAGGATTATGTGGTTCCAGTTATGCCTGATGACGAGCAGCGTCGATTGGAGAGATTTGGTATACTTCAGCCTCCGATTTTCAGTAGTGCAGAGGGCGAGGATGCCCAGGGTTTCTTGTACAAGTGTTAGAGGATTCTAAGCACAGCGGGTACTTTGGAGACCAGTGGGGACTCATTTACTACTTTTCTATTTTTTGGAGCTGCCTTCACTTGGGGGAGGCTTATGAGAGGCGTAGGCCTGTTGGTGCAGCACCCCTTACCTGGCATCCGTTCTCCATTCTCTTCCTAGAGAAGTATGTACCGCATTCCCACAGAGAGGAGCTGCGCAGGCAGTTCGAGCAGTTGTGTCAGGGGGATATGACCGTGACACAGTATGAGATGAGATTTTGCGAGTTGGCCCATCATGCTATCTGGATAGTTCCCACGATAGGGAGAGGATCGGGAGATTTGTTGATGGCCTCACTTATCAGCTACGGATTTTATTGACCAGAGAGAGAGTATCTGTGCTTCTTTTGAAGAGGTAGTTGACATTGCCGGAGAGATAGAGTCAGTTTGCCGCCCGGAGCGAGATGAGAGGGAGGCCAAGAGGCCTCGGGGATTTGGTAGTTTTGGTGGCGTTCCTTTTGGAGGTCATTTTCTGCATGGCAGAGGCCGTTCGTTCAGACATGCTCATCCAGCTCGTTCGGGTCACCGAGGTGGATCATCGGGCCATGGTTCTCACAGTTCACATTAGGGTCACTCATCTTTTAGTTCCCTTCCAGCTCAAAGTTCGACTGAGGCACCATCAGTTTAGGGCTGATCTATGCCTGGTTCTTCTAGTGGGCACCCCGGCGCGCGGGGCTCCCTTCATTCTTCCCCGCCGTTTAGCGGGAGAGGTTGCTTCGAGTTTGGAGATTTGGGTCATATCAAGAGGTTTTGTCCCCGTCTTACAGGAGGTTCATCCCAGCAGAGGAGTCAGCCTTCGGCTTCAGCACCAGTTACTTTCCCACCCGCTCAGTCAGCTTGGGGTGGAGGTCAGTCAACTAGGGGTCGCCCTAGAGGGGAGGTCGATCAGGTGGTGGTCATGCCCGTTTCTATGCCCTCCCAGCCAGGCTAGATGCTATTGCTTCAGATGTTGTGGTTACAGGTATTGTCGCAGTCTTCCACTGAGATGCCTCTGTATTATTTGATCCTGATTCCACTTTTTCATATGTGTCATCATATTTTGCTCGCTATTCGGATACGCCCCGCGAGTCTCTTGTTCCATCTATTCGTGTATCTACTCCGGTGGGCGATACTATTGTTGTAGACCGTGTACATCGGTCGTGTGTGGTGACTATTGGGGGATTGAATACCCGAGTGGATCTCTTGTTGCTTAGTATGGTGGATTTTGATGTGATATTGGGCATGGATTGGTTATCTTCGTGTCGTGCTATTTTGAACTGTCATGCTAAGACAGTGACATTGGCTATGCCGGGTGTGCCACGGATTGAGTGGCGAGGTTCGACAGAGTATGTTCCCAGTAGAGTGGTCTCGTTTTTGAAGGCCCAGTGGATGGTTGGGAAGGGTTGTCTTTCTTATTTGGCCTTCGTGAGGGATGTTAGTGCAGAGGACTCCTACCATTGATTCAGTTCCGGTAGTAAGGGACTTTTTTGATGTATTTGCTGCAGACTTGCCGGGCATGCCACCGGCCAGGGATATTGATTTTGGTATTGATTTGGTGCCGGGCACTCACCCCATTTCTATTCCACTGTTATCGTATGACACCGACGGAGTTGAAGGAGCAGCTTCAGGAACTCCTAGATAAGGGGTTTATTCGGCCAGTGTGTCGCCGTGGGGTGCGCCTGTTCTATTTGTGAAGAAGAAGGATGACATTATGAGGATGTGCATTGATTACAGGCAGTTGAACAAGGTCACCATCAAGAACAAGTATCCTTTGCCTCGTGTTTATGATTCATTTGACCAGCTACAGGGAGCGAGGGTGTTCTCCAAAATTGATCTCCATTTAGGGTATCATCAGTTGAAGATCAGGGACTCGGATATTCTTAAGACAGCTTTCAGGAACCGATATGGTCATTATGAGTTCCTTGTGATGTCTTTTGGGCTGACCAATGCCCTAGCAACATTCATGCATTTGATGAACAACGTGTTTCGGCCTTATCTCGACTTGTTTGTCATTTGTTTTCATTGACGATATTCTGGTGTACTCGCATAGTCAGGAGGAGCACGCGGAGCATTTGAGAGTAGTATTGCAGCGGTTGAGGGAGGCCAATTTTCCATTTTTGATAGACGGTGTTGTCTTTGGTACTACTATTATTTTACACGATCCAGGAACTTCCATAACGTTGGCGTGATTCGCTTTGAGCGCTGATCCTTTATCTACCGTTCAATCTATTAATTTAATTTCTTCTCGACTGGCCTAATAACAGATTATGGTTTTGAGGGTCATCCATTACGAAAAGACCTTCCTCTGAGTGGATATGTGAAAGTACGCTATGATGATCCACAGAAACGTGTGGTTTCTGAACCCATTGAGATGACCCAAGAATTTCGCTATTTCGATTTTGCTAGAAGATAGAGGAAGGAAAGCCAGATCGGACTGACCGGCTGGAACGATTACGAAAATTTCCGACAGTTAGACCGTGATAAGCACTACTAAACCTCAGTCAGTAGAGAAGCTTTATGCAAAGTTCTCCAAGTGTGAGTTTTGGCTCAGTTTAGTGGCTTTCTTGGGACATGTGGTGTCCAGTGAGGGTATTCAGGTGGATCCAAAGAAGATAGAGGTGGTTCAGAGTTGGCCCAGGCCGTCCTCAGCCACAGAGATTCGCAGCTTTCTTGGTTTGGCGGATTATTATCGCCGGTTAGTTCAGGGATTTTCATCTATAACATCACCCTTGACCAAATTGACTCAAAAGGGTGCACCTTTCATGTGGTCGGATGAGTGTGAGGCGAGCTTTCAGAAGCTCAAGACTGCCTTGACCACTGCTCCAGTGTTAGTTATGCTTCTCGTCAGTTGAAACCCCATGAGAAGAACTACCCTGTTCATGATCTAGAGTTGGCTGCCATTGTTCACGCATTGATGATTTGGAGGCATTATCTGTATGGTGTGTCGTGTGAGGTGTTTACTGATCATCGTAGCCTCCAGCCCTTGTTCAAGAAGAAGGATCTCAATTTGAGGCAGCGGAGATGGTTGGAGCTGCTAAAGGACTATGATATTACTATTTTGTACCATCCGGGGAAGGCCAATGTAGTGACCGATGCTTTGAGTTGGAAGGCGGTGAGTATGGGTAGTTTGGCGTATATTCCTGTTGGGGAGAGACCTCTTGCAGTTTATGTTCAGGCCTTGGCCAATCGGTTTGTGAGGTTGGATATTTCGGAGCCCAGTCGGGTCTTAGCTTGTGTGGTTTCTCGGTCTTCCTTGTTTGATCGCATCAGAGAGCGCCAGTATGATGATCCTCATTTGCTTGTCCTTAAGGACAGAGTTCAGCACGACGATACTAGAAATGTGACAATTGATGATTGGGTATTGAGGATGCAGGGCCGGATATGTGTGCCCAATGTAGATGGACTTCGGGAGTTTATTCTGGAGGAAGCCCATAGCTCGCGGTATTCCATCCATCCGCGTGCCGCGAAGATGTATCAAGATTTGAGACAACATTATTGGTGGAGGAAAATGAAAAAGGATATTGTGGGATTTGTAGCTTGGTGTCTCAATTGTCAGTAGGTGAAATATGAGCATCAGAGACCGAGTGGCTTGCTTCAGCAGATAGATATTCCAGAGTGGAAATGGGAGCGGATCACCATGGACTTTGTAGTTGGATTCCCACGGACTTTGAAGAAGTTCGATGCCATTTGGGTGATTGTGGATCGGCTGACCAAGTTTTCGCACTTCATTCCTGTGTGTACTACCTATTCTTCAGAGCGGTTAGCAGAGATTTATATCCGAGAGATTGTTCGCTTGCATGGTGTCCCAGTTTCCATCATTTCAGATAGAGGTACTTAGTTCACTTTGTAGTTTTGGCGGGCCGTGCAACAACGGTTGGGTACTCAGGTTGAGTTGAGCACAACTTTTCACCCTCAGACGGACGGGCAGTCCGAGCGAACCATTCAGATACTAGAGGACATGTTGCGCGTGTGTGTCATTGATTTTGGAGGGTCATGTGATTAGTTTCTACCGCTCGCAGGGTTTGCATACAACAACAGTTATCAGTCGAGTATTCTGATGGCTCCATATGAGGCTTTATACGTGAGACGGTGTAGATCTCCAGTTGGTTGGTTTGAGCCGGGTGAGGCTAGGCTTTTGGGTACAGACTTGGTGCAGGATGCTTTGGACAAGGTGAGGTGATCCAGGAGCGGCTTCGTACAGCGCAGTCAAGACAAAAGAGTTATGCTGACAGGAAGGTTCGTGATGTGTCCTATATGGTTGGGGAGAAGGTTCTACTGAAGGTTTCACCCATGAAGGGTGTTATGAGATTTGGGAAGAAGGGTAAATTGAGTCCTCGGTTCATTGGACCGTTTGAGGTGCTTTGGAGGATTGGGGAGGTGGCTTATGAGCTGGCATTGCCACCTAGCTTGTCGAGTGTGCATCCGGTATTTCATGGTTCTATGCTCCGGAAGTATATTGGCGATCTGTCTCATGTTTTGGATTTTAGCAAGGTTCAATTAGACAGTGATTTGACCTACGAGGTGGAGCTAGTGGCTATTTTAGAGCGGCAGGTTCGAAAGTTGAGATCAAAGGATATAGCTTCAGTGAAAGTGCAGTGGAGAGGTTGGCCCGTGGAGGAGGCTACCTGGGAGACCGAGCGGGAGATGCGGAGCATATATCCTCACCTATTTGAGTCTTTAGGTATGTTTCTTGACTCGTTCAAGGACGAATATTTTTTTAAGAGGGGGAGGATGTAACGACCCGGCCGGTCGTTTCATGAGTTACCGCTCCGTTTCCCTCCATTTCTGCTTCGTTATGTCTTGTTCAACTGTATTATGTGTTATCGGGTTGGTTGGTTCGGGTTCGGAGTGGTTTTGTAGAGGAATGAGACACTTACTCTCTTTTGAGTAAGCTTAAGTTGGAAAAGTCAATCGGATGTTGACTTATGGGTAGAAGGTCTCGGATGTGAATTCCGATGGTTCGGATAGCTTCGTTAGGTGATTTGGGACTTAGGAGCGTGATTGGAATGTATTTTGGAGGTCCGTGGTAGAATTAGGCTTGAATTGGCGGATTTTGGCATTTTCCGGTCGGCATTGGAAATTTTGATATCAGGGTCAGAATGGAATTCCGAAAATTGGAGTAGGTCCGTTGTGTCTTTTGTGACGTGTGTGAAAAATTTCAGGTCATTCGGGTGAGGTTTGATAGACTTTTGGATCGTTTGCAGAATTCGGAAGATATAGAATCCTTAGGCTTGAATCCGAGGATAATTTGGTGTTTTGATGTTGTTTTGAGTGTTTCGAAGGTTGGAACAAGTTTGAATGATGTTATGGGATGGCTTGGCATGTTTGGTTGAGGTCTCGAGGGCCTCGGGTGAGTTTGGGGTGGTTAACGGATCATTTTGGACTTTGGAAAGATAGCAGATTTTTCGGTATTTTTGTTGCAGAAATTTGTTCTTCGCGATCGCGAGAGGGCTCTCGCGTTCACGTAGGGATGTTGAGTGAGGCAGGTGAGTTACTCTTCGCGTTCGCGATGTTGGTCCCGCGTTCGCGAAGGTTGAGGTAGAGTGTGCATCGCGAACGCGTAGAAGGGTGAAGCAGGCTTGGGCATCAGGCCCTAAGGCATCGCGTTCGCGTCCAGTAGAACGGCGTTCGCCAAGCTAGGCAAGGCATCACATTCGCAAGGTGGAGTTCACGTTCGCGAAAGAGGAAAAGATTGAGCAGTGATTTTTGAGCTTCGCGAACGCGAGGCTTTGACCGCGTTCGCGAAGAAGGGAGCATCCGGGCAGAATGTTTATAAAGCCATCTTCGCGATTTTTTGGCCATTTCTCACCATTTTTGAACGGTTTGAAACTTTTTGAGAGGGATTGAAGAGGGATTCGAAGGGAAACACTTGGAGGTAGGGTTTTTGAACTCAATACTCGATTCTATGGTAATTTCTAACTAATTAGACATGAAATTAGTGTGATTTAAAGGCTAAAATTGAGGAAATTAGGGCTTGGAATTGGAGAGTTAAATTGGGGATTTGAGGGGCCATATGAGGTCCGATTTTGATGTTCTTGGTTTGTATGGACTCGTGGGAGGACGAAGATTCTTGTGATGTGATTTTTATCGAATTCCGAGACGTGGGCCCGGGGGTCGGGTTTGGCCAATTTCGGGATTTTTGAGTTAATTTGATAATTTTCGTATGGGTTTCATTCCTTTAGCGTATATTGATGGTTATATACTGATTTTGGTTAGATTCGGGGCATTTGGAGGCCGAATCGAGAGGCAAGGGCGTCGCGGGCTAGAGTTTGGCTTGGCTTGAGGTAAGTAACGCCAACAAACTTGGTTCTGAGGGTTCGAAACCCCGAACTATGTGTTCTATGATTACTATTGAGGTGACGCAAATGCCAAGTGACGGGCGTGTGGGCGTGCACCGTGAGAATCGCGGCCTGGATCATTCCATGGCACCGCTTAGTGACTCTTTCTTACAGATATCTGTGTTGTAATTATGTGATTAAGCTAATGAGCTGTAAATCATGCTAATTATCATGTTAAGGCTTCACGCCAATACTGTTGAGACCCGAGAGTTCATTTCTTGATGTCATATCATTAGCTTCATTGACATTATGTACTCAGTCGTGTTCATGCATATTATATCATGCCTCAGTCTCGATTATTGTTATCTGACACATCATATCATTATTCAGGCTAGTACCATGACGTTTTGAGCCTGTGTGTGTGAGACTAGAGAGTGATGACTGAGTGAGGCCGAGAGCCTGATATTGAGGGACAGTATAGGATCGGGTTGCATGCCGCATCGAGATATTGATTATGCCTTCGTTGGCTTGTTATAGCACTTGGGCTGAAAGGAGCCCCTCCGGAGTCTTTACACCCCCAGTGAGCGCAGTTGATGATATTGAGGGATGAATCTTCCCTGGACATGGATCTTGTCCGAAGTATTATACCTGGAGATGGATCTTCTCCATAGAGCTGGAATGGCCTTCCTCGGTACTATATATATATATATATATATATATATATATATATATTCCGAGATGGATCTTCCCTGGGCCGGATGGCCATATACAATATCGAGCGATTGAGCACTTGTGAGTGGAGGTACACGGAACATTGGTCAAGCTATATGTGCATTGGTACATAGAGATTTTCCTGAGTTTTATACCCCGTACTGTGTAGACTGCATTTTATTTACTGTTGAGGTATTATTTGAACTGCAAGCATGTCTACTTTTTTGTACAGTTTAAATGTATTACCTGTTGAGGTTTGGTTCGTCACTACCTGTCAGTCCATAGTTTGGACTTGTTACTTATTGAATTGGTGTGCTCACGTTATCCCCTGTACCTTGTGTGCAGATCTAGGTATCTTTGGCCACGGTAGCAGTTGCTGATCATTTCAGTTGTGAACTTTCCTTGGAGATAGCAAGGTATCTTCCTAGGGATTGCAGTCCCGCCTTCTCCTTCCTTATCTTCCTTTTAGTGTATTTGTTGGCTATTCTTAGACTATGTTAGTCTTGTTTTATTTCGAATCGTTGTAGTACTTTGCTCATGACTTAGTGACACCCGAGGTCGGGCTTGCATTTTACGCTTTGTTTTGACTTTTACTTTATATCTTTTATCGGATTTCAGTTGGAAACATGGTTTTACTTAAGTTTTAAATGAAATATGGATCATTTGGAAATCAGTTGGCTGGCTTAGTTTCACGATAGGCGCCATCACGATCGGATCGGTTTTGGGGTCGTGACACTTATACTTTAATAGTTACATAGGTGGTTTTTATTTATTTCATGAATATGGCTAGAATTTATGTTGCCAAGTAGAGTAGTTCGTTGAGGTAAGATTTGTGATGATATACGAGGAATTAACTTTGTGCTTTAGCTCTTATTCACGTGATAATATCCAGCAACTTCTGTTTAATGCCTTGATTAGACCAAGTGACAGATTAATTTGTTAAAAAAATTTGAGCTTTCGTCTATTTATGTAACTTGATTTGTGCTTTTGGTTTGTCAAAATGCTAGTCAATTATAAGTTTTTCATCAAATATTTTTGTTTCATTATTTCAGCTTAGTGATGTGGAGAGCTGAGTCTACTTCCCCTCATGGATGTAAGAGTAGCATCAAGCGATGACAATGCAAAATCACCAAGGAAGTACATTGCACTTTGTATATTTATTTATTAAGATGAGGATCTACTCTTTATTGTATTATGTTTAAGTTATCATACATTTATTTGTATAAGTTTTAGTTTGATATGAATTTAAAATTGTGATGTTTGTTAGCATTGATATTTTTAATGGAATTTGATTTGTGAGAGTTATTTAGTAAAATTATATATTGAATCCTCGAATATAAACTTTCAGAGAGATATTGTGGTAGTTACAGATTGCCACCACTAATCCTTTTTTATTAGATTGAGATCAAATTGTGATGGTTATAAATTCCCACAAATTATTTTTTTAAACATTGAAATCATATTATGGAGGTTACAAATTGCCAGTAATTAGTTTTATTAACCGCCACAAATTAAAAATTTATTTTGTGGCGGTCGCCGTGGAGGTTGTACAAAACTGCCGCAAAAAATCTTGTGGTGAACGTTGTTTGACAAAAGTATGCTACTCTTTGTTAAACTAATTTAATGATAACTGAGGTGAAAGGTGAATCCTAATCAAGCATAATAATTTCTAGATCTAGTTTAGAGTTTGGGTGGCACTGTTTACCAAATGCTTATAACCGTATATTCCGTCATTAAATGCACACTTTTAGGAGTAAATGAAGAATCAATAATGAGTAATAAATATGAGGAGTGGCCACAAAAGTAAATAGGAAGAACAAATCACCCAAATACCAAATGGTGTGGAAGATACTTCCTCCTGACAACGAAGTATGGTAGTAAACAAGAATATGAGTAGTACTTTCTTGGATCGTGTGAGTGGAAGAGAAGAAGAATCGATAAAATCAATCACTATGTAAAGGTAAATTTTGTATTTTCTCTCAATGGTCAACTTCTTACAATAGTTTTCCCAGATTCAATCTCACATCCCCTTTTTCTTCTCCTTCTCTTTCTCTTTATATGGGATACTCTCTAAAGACCCTAAAAAGTACAATAAAGGGAGTATCCAGGAGAATATTCCTGTCACTAGCTCCAAGGTTACACTAGCCGCTATTCCTATTCTTCGCTATACGACCTCGACCTCTACGTCTCGCTCGGCGACTGCTCGTTGTTGGGCTTTGGTCGACCTCGTCTTATCTGCCCGAATAAGAACACAGTCTTTTCACTTTATGACCTTTCCACGCCCAACTCCTTCAACAAGATTTTGACCTATATAGTTAGTCCCTTCGCTTGTCGGGGTTGCCTTCTGGTCGGCCCCGATGAGTGGACCTTTTTAGTCACTGATTTGTGAAGAAATTTTTGGGCGTGGTGATAGAGTGGAGGTGTCCGTTGCCGAAGCAATGATGTGTCATTTTGAGTGGGGTTGGTACAGAATGACGTCACAACGCATGCATCATCATTGTGCATCTTCTCGATGCGTTGCCTCGTTGCTCGAGTCCCTGTCGGTTTGATTATACGGCCACTAGCGGTTACTTGCATCAATTCGAACGCCCATGAAGTCTATAAATAAGGAGGGGGAAATTCCTCAAAGAAACTTTTGCACTCTTCTAGTTTCTTCAGCCCTGTATTTGCTTCCTCTTCTCCTTCTTCTGTTCTTACTTACTGTAACTGCTGCCATTGCCACCCCTTCTTCTTTTTCTGTCTCCTCATATACACACCATTGGAAAATGGTTACCGTAACCCCCAATGCTGAGATAGTTTCCGACCCTACTCCACTTTCGGTGGCAATGCTTTCTGGTGGCGGAGAATCAACGGTGGTAGAGGATTAAAGCTTTCCCACAGTGGAAGAGATCATTCCTCGTAACCCTACTTTCAGGTCTGACTTTTCTAAGGAACCCACCCTAGAACCGGAGTCTGCAAGGTCGGAGATGGAAGCGAAACACCTTGCCGTCCTTAGGGCCAAGTACGGCATTCCAGCCCACGTTGACCTGGTTCCGGCCGGAGACGACGTGATTCAAGTTCACAGGCCTGGGTATTATGCGTTTTGTGCCTACCCGTTTCATATAGGCTATTCTCTTCCTCTTCCTCCGTTGGCGGAGGAGTTCTGCCGCTATTACCGTATCTGCCCGGCACAGATCTCTCCCTACCTTTACAAGATTTTTCTTATGTTGACGAAGTTTGCGGAGCTCGCCGGCTGCGAAGTCTCTATCTTCCACCTTCTGCATCTTTTCGGGCTGAGCTTTCATAGAGGCACGATGATTCACCTCCGCCACTGCGGAACCAAAGTATTGGTCGCGGGGATGGATGATAGGACGAACCGCCGGTTCTGGGCCCATTATTTTTATGTTAGAACCGAGTAAGTGGTGGCAAACCCTAGCGACTTTCCTGAACAATGGAATTTTGCTCGTAATATCGTTATTTGGAGTACGTCCTTCTCTTCTTTTCGTGATTAGTGACTAGTTGCGTCGTTTTTTCCTTTTGCAGCTGAGAGGCATCCCCCATCTTTGGTTGCCGATACCAGTGATTGGGTGGCCCGCGTTTTGCCTCACACCGTAGGTATCCGTGACTGGGCGTTCTTTAACAAGAAATTTAGGCTCAAGCCCTCAACCGGTAAGTCGGTCTTCACCTTTATAACTATTTCGCTTTTGCCGTGGTGCATGTCTTTTTGTCGTTTTACGGTTTTCCTTTGATGCTAGGTCGGTGAACTTCTAAGAAGGTGAAGGCTCCCATCCCTGCATTCCATCAGGCGGTCGCTTCGGCTAAGATTCAATTCGTGTTGGCCGAATCTGTGCGAAATATTTCTTCTCAGACTCCGGTATTGAGCGAGCCTGGTCGTTAGACAGCCACCCCGGCAGTGGAGATCCCAGCTTGCCCGGTGGTTCATATAGTGGATGAATCTTCCATGGGCGAGGAGGAAGCGACGTCTTTGAAGAGGTGACGAGTGGAGGCCGTGGTCACACCCGAACGGGCCATGACCATAGATATGGAGGCGACGTGCACTTCAGCCACGGGGACTGCTCCCCAGTCGGAGATTATCGGGGAAGCTAGGTCGTTGGAGACGACGGAGGCAACTACAGAAAGGGAAACACCGGGGGCGGTCGAGGTTGGCTCATCGTTTGCTGGTGGCAGAGGAAAAGCGGTCGCTCTGGAAGATGACGGGTCTGGTTCTGATATCGACCCCGAGGAGGTACGGTCTTTCGAAGAGAGATTCACTCGAGTGGAGGTGAGGACCGAGGGGTCCACTCGAAATATTATCATCCCCGTGGATTTTAACTTGTTAGTCAACTGGGAGAGCGTGGTTCCAGGTTTGGCCCTTTGTGTGCGGAGCCCATGAACAGGACCTTGCAGACGCTGAAGGATGAGGAAATGTCGTTAGGCATTTCCGGGATCGCCCTGTGAGTAAGTCCTTTCTGATCGTTTTGATTTCTTCCTTTTACGTTATTTGTCTTTGCTGACCTTTCTTCGTCTGTTTATCAGACCCTCATCTTGGAGATTGAGAGAGCCCGTCGAGAGGAGAAAAGGACGAGAGTCTATAAGAAGATGGAGGCGAAGTATAGAGACTACCGTACAAAACATAAAGCCCTGGTCTGTATGCTTGGTGAGGACGCTCTCTTTCTAACCCTCCGTGACGATCTGAGGCAGAAGAGTGAGGAGTTGAAGGCGAAGGATGACGAGTTGAAGGAGAAAGACGACGAGGTCATGAGGATTATTGGCAGGTATAGTGAGCTTGAAGAGACGTTAAGGGCCAAGAACGATGCGCTCGAGGTGAGCAAGGGGGTCATGGCCGAGTGCGTCGATCTCCAAGATCAGGTGACGTCTTTATAGGCCGAGCTTGATCAGAGCGCAACTGTAGTTATTGGCTTAAGGGACGAGCTGACTGCCAAAGCTGCAGAGTTGGAGCGAGTTGAGACAGCTAGATCGGCAACTGTGGCGGAGGCGGCGGCGTTAGCGGGCACCCTCTGCGTCTTCAGATCAGAGCGTGATAGTGAGGCAGAGACCTTTTCTCTTAAAGAGGCGAGGTTCAAAGAGCGGATAGGCGGACTAGAAGGGGACGTTCAGGATTTGGACGAGCAGGTAGCTGTCCTTAAGGCTGAGAAGCGCACCAGCAGGCTCAGCTTTCTACCTGTCATGCTTCCACTTATCCCAATGTCCCAAAAGACTTGTACGAGAAGTGGGTCCATCCTGAGGCTCATCTTGACATATATAGAGTTTTGACGGTGGCCGGGAAAGCCTCTGAGGCGGAGTTTGAGGATACTCGTTTTAAGGCACGTGCAGGTCGTGTCGCTTGCGGTTATGACCCTAGCATGCCCGGGATGGACGATGACGAGGAAGATGTGGACGAGATTGAGCCAGACGCTTCGTACGAAGACGAGAACTTGGATGCTGAGGGTAGAGATGGTGCTGCTGGGCCGGACGGTGAAGGTGGCGACAGAGATGATGCAATGTGCGATTTTCTTGTACTTGGTTTTTTTGTTGCTCGTTTTCTCTTTTTTGGGGGGGGGGGGGGGTCTTTTTGGCTCTTTGTAAGATACTCTCTTTTTTGGAATAGAATGGCTATTGCCTTTTTGCTGTATGTTTTTGGCTTTTTTCATTTTTCTTCGTATGTTTTTTCCTTTGTAAGAGTTCCAGATTTAGTTGATGTGGCCGAGGTCAGATATCAATTAACTTGAGCGAGGTCGAATCGCTGGTTGATTCGCACGAAGTCAAATGTTAATGAATTCGAACGGAGTCGAATGTGAGTTGATTCGAGCGAAGTCGAATGTGAGTAAATTCAAACGAGGCCGAATGCGAATCGATTCGAGCGAGGTCGAATGAGAGTAAATTTGAGTGTGGTCGAATGTGAGTCGGTTCGAGTGAGGTCGAATGTTTGACCCTTAAAGTGATTCGAACAAGGTCGAATGTAAATAAATTCGAGCGAGGTCGAATGTGAGTCGATTCGAGCGAGGTGGAATGTTTGACTCTTTAAGTGGTTCGAACGAGGTTGAATGTTAGTAAATTCGAACGAAGTCAAATGTTAGCAAATTCGAATGAGGCCAAATGTGAATTGATTCGAGCAAGGTCGAATGTGAGTCGATTCGAGCAAGGTCAAATGTTTGAACCTTAAAGTGATTCGAACGAGGTCGAATGTAAATAAATTCGAGCGAGGCTGAATGTGAGTCGATCCGAGTGAGGTCGAATGTTTGACTCTTTAAGTGGTTCGAAAGAGGTCGAATGTTAGTAAATTCGAACGAGGTCGAATGTTAAATTCGAACGAGGCCG